TATTCATGGTCTGCTAGGTTACGTTGAGGATTTTCATGAGTTTCCCTCCACTATTCATTATATTCCTAAATAAACTAAACCAACGTAAAGTTCTAAAGCCATCTCAAGGTATGGTTGGCCAGGTAAAAACAGAGGTAGTCTTCTCACAAAATAGGTTTATTTTATATTATTGTTCTAGAAGATATTGTTCAGAAATGTCAGTAAGTTCTAAAATTATGTTCAGGTAGGGTATTGAAAATCACAATATGAGTTTGACTACTATTGGTCTTATTGGTAAAGTACAGATTGCTAATCATGCCTTTATGATAACAGTGATTCTTACCTACTTTAGCACACAGAGTAATTACTCAGTAAACCAGGCATAGCCTGGGAATTTCCAATTCCCTCTTCAATATCCAACACTTCCTCAAACCAGTTACACAGAATTAATGGACAAGTGACAATGCTGAGGCTTATTGTAGCACCTTTGCAAAGAAAGCTGTTTTATTACTAAAAATGTAGAATGTTGTGGATTAGTAAGTCATGGAGTATAAAACCACACTTCCACTAAAGGTACCCCTTTGGAGGTGACCACAGGAAAGCATGCATTGAGTAGACTCTATAGAAACCATTTAAGCATTACTGTTAGCATGTTCCATCTTCCATGTTAAAATAAGTTATATTGGGGTACTGTGACGTAGTGATGGGCTTAACAGACTATGGCTACATGGTGTAACTGAATCCCCATATTTGTTTGCTAATGTAGGTGATTTTAAGTAGCCTTGCAACATTTTAAACTATATCTTTTTTGTGTGTGCATTGTTATCTAATCTGTAATTTATATATATATATATATATATATATATATATATATATATATAAAATATACAAAATACAGAATCCGGCGCACTCGCTTATTCACTAAACAATGATTTCAAATCTTAGAGATTGTAATAGTTTTATTTAAAAACGCCTCACCTAGGCAAAAAATGATAGGGGTTTAGTTACATTATATGATCATACATTGCATAAGCCTTCCAACTACGTCAAAGTACCCCATATTCGGCAGGTCCTATCCTACATTAGCAGCCTAATGCTTCCTCTTATGAGATTAATCCACTTACTTGGGAAATACTTCCTTACTGGGACTCTCTGTGTCAGGATCGATACAGGGATCCAACACGCAGAGTACTCACAACTATAAAGACGTATACCGGACCTTAGAGTGGCTGGACTAACGTCACACAAACAAAGAGTGGTCAGGAATGAGCCGAGGTTGAGGGAACGAGAAGACAGGTAAGCGGAAGCCAAGCTGTGTCCAAGGGTAGGAGAGAGAAGCAAAGTCAGAATACAAGCCAAGTCAATAACCACAAACCAATAACAGAAAACGCACTGAGGGAACAGACACGCTGAAACCACAACAGGGCAATGACTCACTGTGAGTACCCTTTATACCCTGCCACCTTAATTGATGTCCATGCCCCCAAAACGTCCTGGTTTTACTTTTTCGGTGGGCCGTGACGTCATCAATGTCATGACATCGGTGAAATTGCGCTGCGTCATAAAAGGGGCGTGGCTATTGAGGCCTGCGTCTAAAGTGCCAAAATTGCTGGAGAAGAAGGGTGCCTGTGTGCCCACCTGAGACTGGACTTCCAGATGCCCAATCTCCTCACTATTGGCAACAACAGGTACCATGACACTCTGCAAGTCAAGGCTAAATAGGTTCCTGGAATGAGGCACCTGTGACAGGGAGGGATGCAAAACCAAGGAGTTGGCCTGGGACTCCCAAATATATAAAAGAAACCAAGAGGGCTGCACTCCCCTGAACATACATATTTCCCAAGTAAGTGGATTAATCTCATAAGAGGAAGCATTAGGCTGCTAATGTAGGATAGGACCTGCCGAATATGGGGTACTTTGACGTAGTTGGCAGGCTTATGCAATCTATGATCATATAATGTAACTAAACCCCCATCATTTTTTGCCTAGGTGAGGTGTTTTTAAATAAAACAATACAATCTCTAAGATTTGAAATCATTGTTTAGTGAATAAGTGAGTGCGCTGGATTCTGTATTTTGTATATTTGGGCCCCAGCAGCACCCTATAATGTATGCATGTTCAGGTGAGTGCAGCCCTCTTGGTTTCATTTATTTATTTTTATATAATATATATATATATATATATATATATATATATATATATATATATATTGGACTTTATTGCAGCACCACTACTTATAAATATTCCCGGTATGTCCCCAATTCCTCTTTTGGCAAAAAATTAAAACAGCTTTTTTTGTTTGTGATTATGTGTAATGCTTGTTTTAACTTTCATTGCTGCTTTGACAATTTAAAGGTCCCTGAGGAAGTCTTATTGATTTTGAACGAAATGTGTAGGAACTATTATAGCAGATAGATATATAGATATATATATATATATATTTTTTTTTTTTTTTTATTTATTTATTTTTTTATTCCTTTGTCAAACTAAATAAAGCAAAATACTTATTGAATCTTACCTTGAGTCTGGCCCTTCATACTGCAGTGCTGTTGCCAGGAGCAGAGGAGACTTGGATTAGACCTCCCATCTTCATCAGGGTAGGCACCCAAAAGGCGATTACATCTATCTCCATTCTGTGAGTGTAACCAAATAGTGCATCCAAATACTATCTATACAGTGTTGCACTATTATATGTTTTCATTTTGTAGATCTACAGCTGTATCCTTAATACTGTGTTGGAATTATATTGTGTTTAAAGGGATACAATCTGGGATATCCCTAGAGGCATAAGTTCTCACTTTCTATCAAGATAAGTGTTTTTATCACCACACTACTCACCTTTGGTGTAGGTGATACTATTGCAGTGTTTTTGGTGTACACCCAATCTGTAGACCTGAATTATACTATTGGCCGAGGAAATGGACAGCACTTCATCTTTCACCACTTTGAACGTGTGCTCAGAATATAGTGCTTAGTTAAAATAATCCGTCATCTTGTATTTGTTCATTGAGAATGGTTTACTAAAATGTGTTAAACAATCCAGGCATATCCAACTCTGATCTTATTTCTGTATTCTGTAGAGCAACTTATGTCCCTGTTATCTTAAATAACTATGCAAACAGGTGTGAAAATAAAAAGTTACCTCTCTTTTTCTGTAAATCCGCCCACATTATTACTAAAATAATACTTGATTTTCCTACTAGATGAAAGAGCGAAGGAGCAAATATATGAAACAGAACATTATTGTAACAATTATTAAATAAAACAATGTTGTGCCCAGTCTGATATAACACAGGTTTTTTTTAAATATATAATATCAATTCTCTGATTGCTTAATAGTGGATCCTAGAAAGTTAATAAGATAGATTGGCATCTATTAATTAGTAACCAGCTGAGTTTAAATCCAGGAGCAAGCACTAAAAGCACTTAAAGTCCTCTTAAATAATACAAAAATACAGCATAGAAATAAAATATGATATAGGATAGGCATTTTTAAATCAATCACCATTCCTCGTTTCAAAAGGACGAGACATCTGAGCTTTAATTAAACTTGCTTGCCCTTAGCATGCCAAATACTACACACACAGGCAAGTCAGAATAATTGAAAAATAAGGTCGATGTAGTGTTTCTAGGGAGTATGAAAGTTACCAGTATTAGTAAAAATGGATTTCCTCCAGAAAATATATATTTGTTCCACAAAATAGATTCGTACTTAATTGAGAAATGTACTTTTTTGCGGTTACACATTTTAGCGATAAGTACTCTCATCTAGCTGGTAATTTCAGTGCTATTGATTGGCAGTCATAGTTTCATTATCGTGGTTTTAAAATATATTGACTGGAATTGTTATGAAAACAAGAATTTATGCAGAGAAATATGCTATTTTATTTGCTATCCTTTTGCTGTGCTGTCTTATTATATTGCAGATTGTGAGTGACAGTTTAGGCCAAACATGAATTGATATATTTTTCTGTTACTTCTATGCTGTTAGTTTTAGTTGTCAAGCTGTGATTTCATTTTTTTCAGAAACCTAAATCAAATTTGGAAAGCATTCATTAAACTTATTACTATTTAACAGAATTTACATTTAACCACCCTCATGCACCTTTCATGGTGGCTATAAAGCCCTGCCTTTTGTGTCTTCAATTAAATGCTACTTCATGTGTGATGAAAAACATTGCCTTTATAACTAGGGTGATTTTCATAAACAATACTTCTGCTTTTATGCTCTTCATATTGAGGTGACTGACATTTTTACATTAAGGTGGGACTGTAACCAGTTTAACCTGTGCATTTTTTACAAAGTTCCATGCACCCAAGATGACATGTCCACTTGTATGGTAGAACATTGAGGTTTATTACAGAAACATAAATACCTAATGCTTTCCTACGCCACCATGTGTTTTGGCTCTTGGTTCTACCAAGATATACACCATTATATACTCTTGCTTGTCCACAAAAATACAAAATGGGAGTCTGATCGATTCAGCGAGATAATAAATTGTCATTGGACATCACTTGAGAGAATACCTATTCTCTAATTTTTACTTCTTCATCGGAGACCTCCACTTGGTAGAACTGTTTCACTTTCTTTTCTTTTCTTTTCTTTTCTTTTTTCTTTTTTTTTTGTTGTGCACAATTGTAACCAACAGCGACATCAGGATACGTTTAGAAAACATTTGCAATACAGGTTGTGACATACGTTAGTCAGGCACATTTTTAAGTTTATTATTTCAACAGTGTATATTCTCGCTTGTGTAATTATATAACATCATTAAAACAATACTGAGGCATCGCTTGAAACAGTACAATAAATTTGTAGCTCAAGCTAAGACTATTTGGCTGCTGGGTATGTGGTAACACGCTAACCTGCTGCTCCTTAACTACAATTGGACACAAAGCTGACTATGAATAGATAATGAGAGCCTAGACAATCTGGTCCCGAACTAGACAAAAAAATAAATTAAATTTAAAAAAACGAGAGGAAGTCTATGGTATACATTACAGCAGCTCTGTGTAGATTAATTATAAGCGCTTATGTCCATACATGGTGTGCTTGGAGCTGTTTGGATAGTCCAGGTAAACCTATTCAGATGATGCCCGTGTGTGAGGCTGGTTCTGGCGGGTCCGGCGGTGGTGCAGCTGGGATCTGTTCCCCTGCGTCCCGGGGGTGCAGCTTGTGGTAGACTTTTGTGGGTGACTGCCTGCTTGTGGGACACGTTTGCGGTGCTGTCCCTGAGGTGAGTATGTGGGTTGAGTGAAGTCGTGGGCGGTCTTGTTGCTTCCCACTGGTCGTCTTGTTTTCCCCTCTCCCTCTCCCCTCTCCCTGGGCGTTGGTGCGCCGCTTGTGCTGTGCTCATTTGTGGGGAGCTTTGCACGCCCTCAGGGAGTGTTGGGGTCTCTGTGGTTGGCCCGGGTTGTCCGCCTTCGGGGGGCCTCGTGGGACCTTCTGCAGGGTGCGCATGGTAGTGATGGCGGGCCCCGTCACGTGTGTGTGTCACTTGGTGCTCGTTTCGGTCTGGGGGGCTCCCTTTGGTGATGTCTGCCCCCAGGATGTGCTCTTCCCTGCTGCCCTTGATTGTGATTGCCCTTGATTGTGCTGGTCTGCCCTGTGCCCGAGCTTTTGCCAGAATTTCTGGAACAGGTAGTCAAGGCGCTAATGTTTTGTGCCGATCTTCTGTCTCAATCTCACGACCAGCTGCCGCCATCTTGATTTTGTGGCTTGTCCGTGTGTTTTGCAGCGGTGGGGAGAAACAGGCGAGTCAAGCTTCTTGATAACCCCCGCCGGTTGAGGGGGGGAGGGGGGAAGTTTCTTGCTGCGGCTCCCGTCCCCGCTGATGCCCCGGAGAGCGGCTGTCTCTCCGCTGCTCGGTCCCAGGTAGGCAGAAGCCTCGTGCCGTCAGATTGGCTATGCAGGGGCTCGTGAGGGGCGCGGTTCGAATCAGTAGCCCCCCTGAGTAAAGGTACTGTGGGCTTTTGGCTGTAAGTGGTTGTGTTCCGGCGTTGTAACCCGTTTTCCCTCTCCAGACGTGGGAGCTCTATCCAGACACGTCTGGGCTGCTGGGCTGCTTGGCTCTGCCCCCCACTTTCTTTTATTTTCTTGTCCATTCTATCTGGAATTTACCAAGATAATTATTTATTATGATATTTCCTATTTAAGTTTATTTTCTTCTTTTTTTATTTCTGCAAAAAGTGACCATTTAATAGGATGTTCTATATATAGCTCTGACACCCTAAGTATTCTTCTGCTATATTTTAAAACAATAAAATATTGAAAACAAGAGTTCTAGATGATTGTAAATTCCAGTTTTTCTTTAAATGATCAACTTGAACCAAAGCTAAAAAAAATATTGTATCACTTAATTCAGAGTATTTACATATGGAAAAAGGTTGATTGAATCACATGAAGGAAATTAATATTGCCGCTATAAATCAATGGTAAATCTTAAATGTACGAATTCCGTGACCGCCAGTGTATCACCACAGTGGACTCCCTTTCCCAATGTGAAATAGCTCTAACCAGTTGTGCAAATAATTATACCAATCTTAAATATGTGGTTCAAGTTTGGTCTACCAATCTTCAATAAAAATGTAATAGAGCTGAAAAATATGCAGATAAAGGTTACAAAATTAATATGGAGAATTGAAGAGAGTTATGAAGAAAGTTTTAAATTTTAAGTTTATTTACACTAACAAAAATCGTTATAGATTAAGATATGCACAGCAATGTGCACAATAAATACAAAAAGCTTTTCAGTGTTTTTTTCTTTAACATGTCTGTACAAAAATAAGAAATCATAATTTCAAATGTGATAAAAATTTTACTTATTAAGAGCAATAAAGAGTGGGGATTCAAAGCCAATAGAATGTCAAAATGAATACCTACTTTCTTTAAATTATCTTAATATTTGTATCTACCTGATATAATACAGATAACTATAAAATATATTATAGATTCTGCTACTATATATTGTATTTAAATGATTAAATGTTTATTGTTTAATTCTTTTTTTTTTTCTTTTTCTTTTTTATTATTTCTTTGATCCAGAACTGATATTTATACATCATCATTATTTATCCATATTTATTTACCTATGGCTAATTTCTATAAACTAAAGTCCCCTATATCGAAAAGATAACCACCAATAGATATCATTATTGGATTTTCAAACGCATGAAATAGGTGCGAAGTAGACCAGAGACAAATTCTGTTATACGTAGGCTGAACTAAGCAGCTCTAGACAGACGACCCAAAATTCAACGACTGTCTATATACATTTAGGTTAGTCAAATACATGTTCAGGGACTTTTCAGTAAATTAGTAAGATTCCATGTTAGTAAATAAATATCTGCTAAACAAAACCCAATGTGGTTTAGTTTTCTATATGTTTATTTTTATCTTTTCATCAAATATAATGTATTTTTTATCAAAATTCCATTGAAGGACTGGCTTGAATAAGTGTTACATGCTCAGCTAACAGAAACACAATAATTAATAAAGTACAGTGGACTCCCTTCTGTTCGATATTTTAAGTTAATGAAGATGTTATTAACCAAATGGGAACAATTAGTTTGATTTTTGCACTTAATCCACTTAGGTTTAAATCAGCCTTTATAGCAGACAATCAATTAAAGGACAACTATAGTGCCAGGAAAATGAACCTGTTTTCCTGTCACTATAGGGTTATTGGGACCTCCCCCTCCCGCTGGGCTGAAGCGGTTAAAACTCCTTCAGTCACTTACCTTAATCCAGTGCCAGGCTCCCTCGGGGCTGGTGACCTTTCACACCTCTTTCCGAAGTCAGCTCCAAAAGAGTAGGCGCAGCAAGAGCCGCGCGCATTCAAACCGCCCATAGGAAAGCATTACTGAATGCTTTCCTATGGACGTCCAGCATCATCTCAGTGTGATTTTCAGACTGAGAATCGCGGAAGTGGCCTCTAGTGGATTAACCCTCAGCTGCAGGGTTAACACTAAGGGGACCTGGCACCCACATGACTTCATTGAGCTGAAGTGGTCTGGGTGCCTGTAGTGGTCTTTTAACCTCTTAAGGACCAAATTTCTGGAATAAAAGGGAATTATGACATGTCACACATGTCATGTGTCCTTAAGGGGTTAAGCATGCAGTATTTCCAAATATGTCTACTAAATAATGCCTATAGAAAATAGAATAAACTGGTATTGTATATTGAGTATCTCATACTGTTTGTACTGACATTTTATTAGATTTGCAAAACATATGATATAAGAAGTTAATATCCTTATTTGTTTTATAAACTATATACAGTATACATGCAGGGGAACATACAGACTGGAAAAATAGTAAAATGTGCTCAAAGTATCAATGTAGGACAAGCATCTATTTTTGCTTCTTTTTCTGATCTATTCATGTTTATGCATATATTTTTAGAATTCATATTATTTTAGATTGTTCAATATATATATATATATATATATATATATAAAAAGAAAGACAAAAAATACTTATTTATTAATGTATTCATTTTGTATTTATTCATTTATTATAGTAGCACATCGAAATCTAAATTGTATAATTTAGGTTTGCAATTCATTCAGCTCAGTGTTTAGAGATTACAACTCTAAACAGGGCACACTTTTCCATATCTGGCATTTGAGGGAGCTGTTTCTTGGCTGTGGTGGACCGCCAGTGTATCACCACAGTGGACTCCCTTTCCCAATGTAAAATAGCTCTAACCAGTTGTGCAAATAATTATAGTCAGTATAGTATCTCTCCCCCCCCCCACCACATTAGTCGGGACTGAATGCTGGGAGTAGATCTGTTTTATTTAGGCAAGCACTCTCAATTTATACATACAATAAACTCCTCCCTGTGCCTGAGAGATAATTTAGTCAGGAAACTTAAAACTCCATTATCTCCCAGGTACTGAAAAGTATAACAATTTTTCAACACCCCAAAATCCACGGTAACCCCTCGAGAGTAACATCCCCGAATAGCGCTGACCTAAGTGCCTAACATATCTAAAAAGCACTCAGATCGGTCTGTGGGTTTAGGAATGCCACCGGGGTAAACGTTTGACTGGTCGGCCATGAGGTAGAAGCTCAAAATAGTTCCAGAGAACTAATGGCAACCGCCAGTCTCAGTTCGAGGATTCCTATACGAAAACCACACACAATATCCAAATGATTTCAAGTGTGGAATACTCCCCCCAGTTGGTAGTTCAGATCTCCCGAACACCGTTCGTATGGGTGGTTGGGAACAGGCAGCAATTCCGTCTTCGCCGGTGTTTGCAGGAGTGCCTAGCTGAAATCTGTTCCAGGCACTCGATGACCAGGTACCGCTGCCTGCGTTTTGTAGACACTCAGGAGAGCATTAATTCGTTGTTTTCCTTGTGGTTTTGCACTTGTTAACAGAGGGTTCTAATACGTTTTTGGGGGTGGTCCTTCATCGGTTACCGAAACAGTGAGTTTGAAGGGAATTGTATAGTTCGAAAAGGGAATAGTATGAGTGATGGGATATTCCTTCACACTGGGGCTAACATATCTTAAACTAAGTAATGTGACATCATATTAATGGTCAATCTCTAAACTGTAAGCATGAAAGAATATGACACTATAGTCACCCAGACCACTTAATCTCATTGAAGTAGTCTAGGTGCAGAGTCTCAGTTCCACAAAGTCCTGCCATGTAAAACATTGCTGTTTCTAAAAAAACTGCAATAATTACATTGCAGCTGCCTGCAGGGGGTCTGCCTAAACTGACAGGCAGTCCCCCTGCTGGTGAAATCATAAAAAAAAAAAAGTTATTAGACCAATCAGTGAAAAAAAATAAATATATATATATATATATATATATATATATTACACAAGATCCAGCGCACTCACCTATCCACTAAACAGCAACTTCAATATTGAAAGATTTTATTTGTTTTTTTTAAAAACACCTAATCAAGGCAAAAATAATGGGGGTTTAGTTACATCATATGATCATACATTGCATAAGCCTGCCACAACATCAGTGTACCCCATCTTTGGCAGGTCCTACACTAACAGCCTGTCTGCCCTTATTAGATTAACCCACTTACTTGGGGAAAAAAATTCCATCTGGGGCTCTCTGCAGTACAAGGCTAAATAGGGCCCTGGAATGAGGCACCTGTGACAGGGAGGGGTGCAAAACCAAGGAGTTGGCGAGACTCCCAAATATATATATATATATATATATATATATATATATATATATATATATATATATATGAAACAGGGTGGGGGGGTTGACTGCACTCACCTGAACATGCATAAATGGGGGTGCTGCTGGGGTCCAAATTATACAATACACAAGATCCAGCGCACTCGCCTATCCACTAAACAGCAACTTCAATGTTGAACTTCAATGTTCTGGGGGTCATGGCACATATATTACTTGGTCCATCTGTCGGAGGAGAGGTATGCCGGCAGACGAGCAGAGTCTGTGTTTCTTCCCAAGTACGCCGCAACCCATGTGGTGTGGTCGCGGGCTCGGGAAAACCGGAGTGGGATGGTGCGCCTTATGCTAATGGTGCGCCGCCATGGAGTGGTGGAAATAGCCGGCGACTGGGAGGTAGATGTCTCTCACTCCTGGAACGCCAAGAGACACGTGGCGTCCGGGGAGTGAGTAGTACACGTCAAATCCTCCCTGTGTGCCGTAACACTGGAGAATTTAACAAGGCACTACTAAGAACAAATTGACAAAACCGCAAAGAGTTAAAAAACATTTGTGCAAGAAAATCTATTGAGCCAATTTGAGGAGTTACACTGTGTCAAAAGTATCTAGAAGTAGAAGGATTACATGGTAATTACCTCATTCCGCTGATTGCCTGTCTCTTCATCTAACAATTCTTCAACCATCTGTGGAGATTTTTTTTTTATTGTTGTTGATGCAGTAGTTGACTTACGGATATCTGCTGAAGTTTTTGAAATATCACTGACAAACACTCCTACGCCTTTTAGTTAAACATTCATACATCTTTTGTTCCCAGGTCTTGTTTCTGTAAATACATATGTGCATTTGCATGTGTCTAGGGTGTAAGAAGCCCTAATATGAATTAAAAACAATGAATTATACAAGGCGTTTACAGAATAATATGTAGTTGTCA